TTTAGGACCAGACCAAACTATTCATAATTTCTGTTATTTTGCGTCTTCTACTCAATTCATTCCCTTAGCCAGTAAATATGCCTTGTCCCCTCCTTCGAGCTTGGACCCCCTTCTATGCAAACCCCTATTTCTCCCTTTCCCTTTACCCTTCTGAGGAGATGTCTTCTCTGTGGTGCTCCTGTCCTCACTTCTTTTTATTCATTCAAAAACACTCAGGATTTTATCCCCAACACTGCTTGAAGTTGTTCTTCCAACATCACTCGAAAAATTGCAAAGATTGAAACTGAATGGATACTTTTTTGCCCCTATATTAATGCCACATGCCAACAGCAAAGCACTCACTTCCCTTTCCAAACTCTCTCTTCCCTTGTCACTGCCACAACATTCTCTTCCAGTTGTCTGGCCAGTTTTTCTCTAAGTAGGGGCTTTTACCAATCATTGTAAATAATTTGAGTGCTTTTCTTATAACCTTCTTTTATCTCTCATTCATTGGTCTTCCTTAGGCTTTTTCCCTAGTCCCACTTCTCTTTCATTCTATAAACTTTCCAGAAGTGGTCTCATTTACTCTCATCATTTGAACTATTACTTCTATGCCAATGAAACCCATTCCTCCACCCCTAAATACGTTTTCCATATTCATTGCAGAAAGCACAAACATGGCTGTTGACTTTCCAAGCCATATGTTCACACCCCAGGCAGGAAGTAATAAAGAAAAAGGCTGGAATATAATTTATGTTGCTTTAGAGGCTAGGATTATATCTCATGACCACACCTTTTGGCAAAGGATATCTGAGCATGTGGTCCTTGGCTGAGAAGCCATTGCTTAGCAACAACACTTCCCAAAGGAAGAGCAGCCACACCTTTAGTAACAGCATTTTCTGCCATAATTATACTGTCATCATTCTACAGATTTCATGCCTGAGATTTGCAGGCAACCAGATAAATTTCTTATTCTCCAAGAGAACCACATATTTGAAATTTTACTGTAGTAAGACTTATTCTCATTTTAAAACTCAAGTTAGTCTATGAGATAGCCAACATGCTGTAAAATATAACTTTAATAGAAATCTCTTATAATGGATTTAGCTCAGATACTATATGTGTAAGTATGACTAATCATTCTTTCTTGCTATTCCTTCTTTCCTTTTGCCCTTGAAAATATAAAAACCTGAAGTGGTTTTTTTCCCCCTCAAAAGCAGTTTATCTATTCTTTGGAATAGCTCTAGTCTTTGTTCTATATTCGCTTCAACTGTCACACGTTAAGGCTATCTTAATGAAGTTTTTAAAATATCTTCTGTGCCTTTTTGGCTCAATGCTGAGAAGAGTGTTGGTTTGGTTCTTAGGTGTCAGCCATTCTCATCACGTTTGACCCAACGAACTTGAAAAATGATTTCCACAGAAGCTTGACAGAAGAAAAGAAATTCAGCATCATTATAAACATGCCATTGCAGCCTTGAGGCTCCTGATGAGACAAATATTTGAGAACTGTGACATTAGTACAGAAATTAAGCTTGATATTGGGTCAGAAATTACAATTCAGCTGCAGCTCCCTTCAGAATACATAGAGCCACAATATGAATGACAAAGGAGATTTCTACAACACTAGAAAACCTGTCAATGCTATATGTGAAACTTTTAAAAATGAAGTAAGAGGACATTCATTCTAAAACTAACTTTTTCTCTTAAGCAAAACTATATGTACATATCGCAAGTGACTTAAAAAATAATCTTTAGCCTTTAAGTGGGAAAATATTTGCAACCCAGACTAGGACAAACTCTGCCCTCCTTTCTTCATTTTTCATACCTATTCTCTCAGGAAATTTGTACATCCTGTAGGTTTTTCTAAACCTTTATCCTGAAATCTGACCTTTTCCCAAAAATTTATCCCCAAAATGATTTCTGAAAGCTGGGTATCTCCTCTTGTGTATATACTGCCATCACTGATGTCCACCTTTCTGCAAACAAATGTGTCATATTTCTCAAAATCCAATCTTTCTCACCTGCTTATTTTCCCAAGTAATCCTTCTTTCTTTCAGTATCCAACTTTGATCACCCAGACTATTTTGCCCCATGGTAATAATCTCGGGACAAGTTTTCTTTTTATAATGCAATTTTAAGGGTAAGTATCATGTCAGACATTTAGGATATGGTACAACAGAAAAGACTTTGTAAGCAGAGTTAACTTTCTGGCAGGAAATTGGGTACCTAAGTTTTCTGTTCTCGTGAAGAATGAAAGAGAGTTATACAAATTTTCATTGCAACTCATCTCCTCACCGAAGTCATTAATATACAATGCCCAATCAACTGCATACTCTCAGTTATGTATTTTATTCTTATTCTTTGGATGTAGAAATCCAACTTACTGAGTGTTATAACCACTTCAGTACATATGCTGATGCCTAATCACAGATGAGGTAAGCCATTTCCTAAATTCTAGTCTTATCCTCCCTTGATGTGAATTGTCCTTCTCAAACCCAAATCATTGGCAGGATGCGCCTGGCATTGGTTATTTTGTATACCAAATTTGCAGTAATTATATTGATTTTATTTTAAAAGGGCAGAAATCTCAGCATTAACAGTCTAACTAGATCTTAGTCCTAGTGGAGGTAGGGCCGAATATGATGCATTCCTGATTTAACAATCTATTATATTTAGTATCAACTCCATACATTTGACTGTACTGTACATCTATTTGGGACACAAACTTTCATGAAAAATCAAGCTCATTTGTTATAATGTTTTTGTTTCCAGACAAATGGCAATATGTCTTGCAAAATGTCTTTAAGAGTTCTAAATACATAGAAAAATCACAGCAAGTATTAATTGATGGTTTGATAGATTTATGAATTATGATTAGGATGTAAGTTGCTGATATTATATGGAAAATATCATATGTGAGTCATAAAATTTTTGATAACAGATTGACTGATGGCTGCTTTAGTTTATTAAACACCAAACTGGAATAAAGTCTGAATTTTACATTTCCTTTAAACCAACCATTATTTTTCTGCAAAACCATGAACAAAATGTTGAATCTCTTTAAGTTTGTCTCACCAGTATTTCAGTGTTCAATATTTCTCTTTTACATACCTACTGCTATTTTTAACATATGGCAATGCTCTTTGAGTTTCTTATATAAAAGTATATGGAAGAAAGAGAACTATAGCGTTTATACTGAGCGTTAAGTTATACATTGTGTGCAGTTTGTCTAAAATCATATTAGTTCATTTTTTAAAAGAAAAATAAAATTGGCTTCTTTAGCAAAATAATAACATGGGCCTGAATAGTCTGACTCTAGCCAAGTTTACTTCAAGAATTGTGGAACAGAATAATGCATTTAAGATAACACTGTTTACTTTAAAAACATCTCTAGGGGAAACAACTGTGCCATAACCTTAAATAATGTATTTTTATAAGAGTCAGAGAGTGAGAGACTTGACTTGTAGTTTTCTTTCCAATTTTCTTCAAAATGTTAAGAACATCAGTCTCTCCAGGAGCATGCACACTCGTGTGTGTGTGTGTGTGTGTGTGTGGTCTGATATGACAGTAGTGCAAAAGTAGTGCACTACTGAATAGAGTGAATCTCCCTTCCCCAGAGCTGCTGAACCACAGTACCCACTGCATTAGTCAGGGATCTCCAGAGAGATAGAACCAACAACTATATTCGGTATAAAGCACAACAAAGAAAAATAACTTTCCCAAGATGTTTGTGAGGAAAGTGTAGATGTCAAGGTGGTTCTTTACCTCTCAGGAGCCAGAATTGATCTTGAGTCTATTATTCTCTCATGGCTCTATTTTATGATATGATCACATTGCTTTCCATTTTGCTATTCTCTTTTTAGATCCTATCTTTTTGTCTGCCATTATATTTCTTCTTTTTGCTTTCATCTTGTCTTGTACATTATGTACATCTCTTCTCAGCCTTCATGGAAAGCTTGTCATGTAATAACCAGAAAAGAAGTAATGAAAGGGGAAGGAGATGTTAGCCCTTGGTCAGCTAGGCACCTTTCCTTCCAGGTTGTAGCTAGACAACTCTTTTGTACGTTGTACCACATTCCAGACTTCTGCATCTCTTGACTACATTAATCCCTGCAGAAATAACTCCAGCTCTTTCTTGGTTCAGAGTTATTTTGAAGACCCTACTATTCCATAAGGCTAAAAATTCATTTAGCAGGGATTTCACTTTGTTCTGTTTGCCTAAATTGTTATACATTTACAGATTTTATATTTCTACTCTCTTTTCCCAGAATTTAAAAAAAAAATCATATGTTTTCTTATATTGCAAATCACCTATGTGCACATCCCACTAGTCAAATATCATTATCAGGAGTACAGAAAATATACTGGTCACACTGAAAATCTAGCAATGTAGGCTATTTTTATTAGATAAACACGCCAACAATTGTCATGTGTTCTATGCTTTGTTATGTTCATTCTACATGTATAGGGTTTTTTTCACAGAGAACTCTTTGAGATAAGATATATAAAATCATTTTTAAAAAGGATTCTCATTTTGTTTGGGTTTTATCATATATAACATAATCTGGGTATCAAAGGCATGCTTTGCAGTATAGCAAGGAGATTACAGCATGGACTAGAAACATGTAGATTTGTGGGAATAATCAATGAAGAATCCCTTAACAAGTTGAGTCTTCTCCTACTGATAAAAGAATGGGTACACTTGCAAATTTCTACAAAGTACATATATTGCCTGCCTATCCAAATAATTGATTTAACTTTCACGTGTGTAATGAACCATCTCCCCCACACACACACACACAAATGTACACACATAAACACAAAGAGCAATGAAATAAAGGAAAGTAGAAAAGTACATAGTGTATAGAAACGAACATAATAAAAACAAAAGAAAGGAAAGCAGCAAGGATAAGGATAAAAGTCATTTCATATTTTCATCAAAACATAGCAAAAATACAGAAACAAAATAGTGGGTGAATATGTGTAGGTTCAGAATAAGGTGGCTTTATACAGAAGAAAATACATGGTCAGAGCCCTGTAGCTTTTCAGCGAGTATGGGTGAGGAATTTACAGCAGTCACTTCCTTCAGATCTGCTAGGTGAGAATCTTCCCTATGTAGCCTATCTAGCTGGTAGCCTCCATTCACAGTGCCTGAGGGATCTACCACAGTGTTCAGGTCAAGGGTGTCTTCTTCCTTGGCCACTTCCAGCCAATGACTGAACACAGCAGGATGACTGGAGCTGGACCATCTCTGCCCCATCTGGAGCACATGTAAAGGCAATCATTCTGCTGAAGCTCCCCATGAGGCCACCCAATACATTCTCAAAGATATACCTCAGTCTCAGGCTCTTTCTGCTCAATCTTCCTTCTTCCCCAACTTCTTTCACATGTGTCATACCTTCATCAAAGTCTTAAGTTTCTCCCCTGCTTCTTCTCCCCTTTATGTTTCACAGACATTCTTCTCAATAAGCTTCTACTTCTATCTCCTTGATGTCTGTTTCCTAGACACAGAATTCAAAACGTCTTTTTCCTCTCCCCAAAATATTTTCTCCAACAAGCTGGAATATTCTTCCAGAATTAAAACCCCCTAATAACACAGGTATGCAGGTATGTTTTTAAAAGAATTGACAGCCATGTCTGTCTCTGGAAACATTAATTCAAAAATTAAAGTTGTTTGTAAGTTAGTGAGTCAAGTAGAACTTAAGAATGTTTAATGTGATTGGTGACTAGAGAGAATCAGTCTTGCTAAGGTAAGACCCAGTATGTATAAGTTATAATGGTGAAATGAACTAGGTCAACTCATTGGTCAGAGTCCACATAAAGAAACAATTGGGATACATTTAATAGGGGAAGTTCTATTACATATTAAAGAAATAAAGATATTGCAATAGAGAAGTTCTCTAGACCACTTTTCCAACATCACAATTTTGCCTGAAGCTCTTGTCAAATGGTTTAGAGGAGGAAATAAGTACTGATAGTGCTACAGTCTGAATGTTTGTGCTCCCCTCCCAAATTTTTATTTAAATCCCAACCCTCAAGGTGATGTTATTAAAAGGTAGGGCCTTTGGGAGATGATTAGCTCATGATGCTGGAGCCATCAGGATTGAGATTAGTGCTCTTATCAAAGAGACCCTAAAGAGCGTCTTTGCCCTTCCACATTGTGAGGTTATAGCCAGGAGGCTCCACCTATGAACCAGCATGTGAGTCCTCACTAGACACCCAAACTGCCAGAACTTTTATCTTAGATTTCCCAGCCTCCAGAACTGTGAGAAATAAATTTCTGTTTTGTTTTTTTTTTTTTGTAAGCCACCTAGTTTATTGTATTTTGTTATAGCAGTCCAAAAAGATTAAGACAGTAATGAGTACTGTCCTTTTTTAAAAAATCCTTTGAAGTCTATGGTTAAAAGTATAGCTCATATCTCAACTATGGTGGACAGTAATTGGAATGGTGAGAATATTTTAGTAATATTGAAAGAATTACAACTATAGTGAACAAAAAGACGTGAGATTGGAACTTCACTAGCATGACATCAGTGACCAATTATTTTTCTTGAAACATTTGATATTCTATTTTTATTAATATTAATTTTTTCTCTCTAAATTAGTATGCCAAGAGAAAATTCACTGTTGGCCTATTAAGATATATATATATATATATATATATATATCTCATCAGAATAATTTTTAATATTTAAATAACAATTGATAATTTTTAGAGCTTTTGAAAAATACGTGGCATTGTATTCTCTTTTAATAAATTCCTATTCCAATGAAAAAATTTTATATCAAATTCATCACTTGAAATGTTTTTATTTAAAAATATGTTGCTGATCATGAATTAAAAGAGTGACAATGAAATCACTTTTAGGTTCTTATAAGAACAAGAACTTGTTTTTTCTCAAGATGAAAAATTTTACATAAATCTTAAATAACTATGACAAAATTGTGACAGGAGCAACGTTTTTAGATGACACTAAACAAGTGGTCTCAGAAAATTATTGACTACATTTACACAAAGTAATCATCTTAATGAGTTTTGGGTTTTTTTGACAGCCACAAATAGAATTAAACTGACAGCCTTTAAAGCATCAAATTAAAAAGAGTCTACTTTCTTATGTTACGTGAGATATTGAGGATGACTTTTCCATGCTATTAAAGGATGATGGACACTACAATAATTATAAATGTCGAGAGTGAAGATAACATTTGAAGCAAGAATTATTACATTTTTGTTTATGATGAACATGGATATTTGCTGGTGCTCATAGTAGTAATTACCTGTGAATTTCTTTTGGGATAGAGGCCATGAAGCATTGTTTCAACATTTTAGCAGATTCTGTACTTCAAGCAAATTCCTAGTAGCTTGCATCTATGGCTATCTAGATTAGGCACCCATAAAGAACATGTGAAATAGAAAACCAGAAATAGAGAAGAGAATATAGGGAAGTAATGAAGATGGCATCAACTCAAACATTGAGGGAAAATAGATTTAAATGTATCAAAGGATATCAGGAAAATTTAGCCTTCACAATAAATGTACCTGCTAATATTCATATATATATGTCATATTAGAGTGTGCATTCATGCCTGTAGAAGAGGAACACTTTTTAAAGCTTATGAATTGCAATTCTGTGTATATTTACAGCAATAGATAATTATTATTTAACATAAATTAGTATAATTTTAGCACTAGAAAGTTTCTATTGTGAGATTAGATGTCTTGTGCAATGTGTAAAATAAAAATCAAACCTAAATATGATAATGGATTTAATATATTATATACCAAGAAACTGCAATGTTAGATTTTGATAAATGTTTCTTTTGACATTAGCATTTGCGAAATGCCATACTGCATACTCATGTAAAGTGAGTCTACATTATGAAAGAATAAGAAAGAAAAAGAAAAAGAAACTGAAAATTAAAAATGCATATACTGAAAATATAACATGAAAAATTCAAAATTAATTAGAAAAAGCTTTTGTATCCTTTTATTAAGTATTAGCTCTTAAATTACATTGGTTTCATAAAATTAGAATAGCATATAAGTAAAAAGTTAATTAATGTCCTTGATTGAAAGAATGTAAAGAATGCATCTCATACGTTAAATTTGTCTTTCATGGCAACTCCCTGGAATTCTGAGCATGAACAAAATAAAACAATATTATATATCCCTTACTCACTCATGGGTTTCACCATTACCCTATTTTGAATATCAATTTCACTTAATGCTCACCTCAAGAATATAAGATAAAAATAAATCATCCTAGTGCCAAATCCAAGTATTTTTATATTTTTCTGTGTTTTTTTTCAAGTATCAAGTGTAATATTTTATTGCCAAATTTTGAAACAACTAGTTAGGCAGCTGCTACTGTTACCTTCTAATAACTTCTCATTTTTCCAGGGTTTTAAATGAAAGATGTAACCCATTACATCTAAATTTCTACATGCTTTTTATTTTTTATTTTAATAATATTTATTTTTTAGTGTAGTTTTGGTTCACAGCAAAATTGAGAAGAGAGTTCAGAGATTTCCCATTACCTTCCACTTCCACACATGCACAGCCTTCCCCATCGTCAACATCCCCCATGAGAGTGGTACACCTGTTACAATCAATGAACCTACATTGACACATCATATCACTTGAAGTCCATAGTTCACTTTAGGATTCAGTCTTGGTGTTGGACATTCTATGGGTTTGGATAAGTTTATAATGAAATGTATTCACCATCATAGTATCATATAGTAGTTTCATGCACTAGAAATCCTCTGTGCTGTATTTATTCCTTTCTCCCCCTTAGCCCCTGGCAATCACAGATTTTTACTGTCTCCATAGTTTTGCCTTTTCCAGAATGTCATATAGTTGGAATCATATAGTATGTACTCTCTTCAGATTGACTTGTTTCACTTAGCAATATGCATTTAAGTTTCTCCATGTCTTTACATGGCTTGATAGCACATTTATTTTTAGCATTGAATAATATTCCATTGTTCAAAATGTACAATAGTTTATTTATCCACTTGCTTGCAAAAGGACATCTTTGTTGCTTCTATGTTTTGGCACTTATGAATAAAGCTGCTGTAAACATCTGTGTGCAGACTTTTACATGTATGTAAGTTCTCAGCTCCTTTGAATAAATACCAAGAAGCATGACTGCTGATTTGTATGGCAAAAGTATGTTTAGTTTTGTAAGAAATTACGAAGCTGTCTTCCAAAATGGTTGTACCATTTTTCATTCCTCTCAGCAACAAATGAGAGTTCCCTTAACATCCTTGCCAACATTTGGAGGTGTTAACATTCTAGTTTTTCACCATTCTATTAGGTGTGTAGTGGTATCTCCTTTTATTTGCATTTTCTTGATGACATATAATGTTGGGCATCTTTTCGTGCTTACTTTCATGCTTACTTTGCCAGCTGTATCTCTTCTTTGATGAAGTGTCTGTTAAGTTCTTTGGCCTATTTTTTAATCACATTGTTTGTTTTCTTACTGTTGAGTTTTAAGAATTCTTTGTATATTTTAAATGACAGTCCTTTATCGGTATGTCTTTTGTTAATATTTTCTCCTAATCTGTGGCTTGTCTTTTTATTCTCTTGATAGTGTCTTTTGCAGAGCAGAAATTTTTAATTTTTAGCTTTTAATATTCAGTTTATAAACTTTTCTTTCATGGATAATGCCTTTTATGTAGTATCTAAAAAGTCATTGCTATACCCTAAGTCATCTAGATTTTCTCTTAAGTTATTTTATAGGAGTTTCATAGTTTTGAGTTTTACAGTTAGCTCTGTGATCCACTTGGAGTTATTTTTTGTATGTGAAGGGTGTAAGGTCTGTGTCTTGATTCCTTTTTTTTTTTTTTTTTTTTTTGCATGCGAAGGTCCAGGTGTTCCAGCTCTATTTGTTGAAAAGACTACCTTTTTTTCTATTGTATTGCCTTTGCTCCTTTGCCAAAGATCAGATGATTATACTTTTGTGGGTCTATTTCTGGACTCTCTATTCTGTTCCATTGATCTATTTTTCTATTCTTTCACCAAGACCAGACTGTCTTAAGATTACTGTACATTTATGGCAAGTCTGGAAGTCAGGTAGTGTCAGTCCTCCAACTTTGTTCTTACTCATCAAACAGTATTAGCTATTCTGGATCTTTTACCTCTCCATATAAACTTTATAATCAGTTTGTCGATATCTGTAAAGTAATTCACTGGTATTTTGATTGGGATTGAATTTTCAAAACCAGGTTTTAAGAATATCTAAAAATTCTTCCCACCTTTTCTTCCTAAAACATCCTACTACTCACCCATGTTGATGATTCATCCTTTCACAAGTGTGCTCATTTCATACTAGTTCAAGAGTAGCTTTTTAAGACATCTACAAATACTCAAATTCTATTGTATATTTTAACCCTATCTCAGATGATTGTTTCAGCACCAGTTCACAGCACTGGTTTTCTATGCAAAACATTTTGATTTTGTTTATGGTATTTCCTTATTATACTTTAAATTTGTGCATGTTTATAAGAGAAATTTTGGAATATTCGGTGTCTGTTGAAATGTGGATAAGCAAAAAGAAGACTATTAAGTCATGCATAATTCCAATACCCAGAAATATTCATTATTATTGTTTTAGATTATATCCAATAGTTTCTGTGTTTTCCAATTTAAAAGGAGTTTTTGTGGCAAATAAATTGGAATGCACTGGGCCAAACATTGTAACTGTGGTTTCTTTATTAAATATCTACTAAGTATAGCTCTGATATCAAGATGAAAACTCTATCTAATATTTTCATTCTTATTTCAAAAGACACACCCTTTTTTGTTTGTTTTTATTTTTTAGTGTCTTATAGAACTAAAAACAATTATTTTATAACTAATACTTTAAAATATTATGAAAGTTGTCATTACTAATATAGCTTACTCAACTAAGAGTTGAAAAACATATATTCAAGACACAGTAGGCAGTTCTGGGCCTTACAATAAAAAGAAATATACAGAACTTGAGTTCAAAGATGAAAGCAACCAATTTGTATGTAATGCTATTTGTCTTGGCAAAAGAAAAGTAAACTATAAGAAAAAATGTTTTGATAGCACAATTTCAAAAGTTGGTAAAAAATGGGACAGCCTCTTTGCAATTTTTCACTGCAAAAATTAGACTCTGAGAGAATGTGATTACAGTTCCACTTTCAATGTGGAGGATGAACTGTTGTGATTTCTTTCTGGTATGTAATTTCTAAGTCCTTAGGAAGAAAACAATGTAACTTAATTTCTTTTGGTTTTATATAATTTCATCTAAATAAAAATAAAACTGAATTGGTCCTTTGGTACATAAATTTCAAAACTGAGCTGTCAATTTATAACAATGACCCACTCTTCTATTATTCAAAATAACCAAATACAAGTAAATGATTACCAATAATTTTCATGTGCACTTAAAAACATTTGCCTTAAACTGAATATGCAATGCAAAATTACATAACTCTTCTCTGACCATATTTAGTATTTAGAAAAAAACTAATAATTTACTCCCTATTATTTCTTTATCATTATTTACTTATTTATGTGTGTTGATATACACAAACATAATAAAATCTGCCAAAGTTATAGTATACCCACTTATTATATTTAGTATGATTTCTTAAATGCAAAGATTGATATTTGTCTCTTTTCATTATTTTTTCTAATTTCACTAATAATTAATTGTTATTGAAATAAGTTAGGACACTTAAGGAAATAAAGAAAAATATTATAGGCTAAATATCATTTCACAATTTTCTGTCTGTCTCTCTAGTAGGTATATGTGTATGTACATATATATCTTTGTTAGCATAAGATGGAAATTTTAATCTCAGCTTTAAATTGTTTAAGTATTTAAATTGTTAAATTTGCATTGCATATCTTCTCTCTCAGAAATAGATTTGTCTTCTCTTATATTACCACTCAACTTTTTTTAAAGTTTTTTATATTCTTTATTTGTATAGTGTCTTAGCAGTTGAGATGCTGAATTTTCAACACATAGAGTCAAATGTATTCCTACCAAACAAGTTGTACTTCATGAAAAAATATTTCACAGTCCTTAAGGTTTTGGCTTTTTTTTTTTTTTGCATAATGGGTGCATATAGTTCTATGTATTTTATCTCTCGCATGACACAATTCTTGTAACCACCCACTGCAATTAAGATACAGAACTACTACATCACCACAAAGATGCTCCTTCTGTTGCCCCTTCATCAGTTTCCCTGTTCTTTTTTGTGGAGACAGAGTGTTACTCAGTGTCCTGGGTAGAGTGTAGTGATGGCGAGTCACCGCAAGCTCTAGGTCCAGGGCTGTGAGTGATCCTTCTGCCTCAGCCTCTCCGTGTTACCCCTTTAATAAACTCACTGTCCTCCCCCTCGATTTGTTCTCCATTTCTATGACTTTGTCCTTTCAAGAATGTTATGCGAATAACATCATACAATAGGAGACTTTTTGAGATTGTTTTTTTTTTTTTCACTCTGGTTTGTTAATATTCTAATTTTACAAACCACATGAAAGCAATCATTCCTGATATACATTCATCCCAGGGTTTTTTTCTCTCCACCCTAACACTTGGTGCTTTTTGTTGGGATTATTTATCCCATGAAGCAAAGAAAATGACACTTTTGTCCCACCTTGCCCCCAGCTGACACGCATGCATACACAACTTTCTTCTTAATTATTGGCTAGTGGTTCTGCAAAAATGGTGGTTGGAAACAAAAAGATCACTACTGTGGACACCTCAAAAAACAAGTCATACAAGTTAAAACAAATAGCACTCCAATTTTCTGTCAAGCTCTGGTTTCTGTGGTATAAAATAGACTCAGTACCTTTCCATCTTTCATGTTACTTTAGTTTTTCTAGTGCTTTCTGTTTCAAAAGGAAAATGTGGGTGTCCTGAAGGGGAAACTACATTGGTTTCCTTCAGTTGAACTGTGTTTTCTAAGTAATTATTTGAGCTTTCTCTCCTAATCCCTCCTCAAATTTCTCTTAGTTTTGTATTGTGGTGTTGATTTTCTTCTTGGGAAGTTGGAAGAGATTGTGTTTAGCTTTCTTACACATAGGCCATGTAAAAGAAAATAGCAGAAGAAAAAGAATTTTAACTATAGAATATTTAAACTACACAACATTAGAATTTTAACTGACCATGAACATAAGCACTATCCACATATGTACATACCACACAATTTTCACTCTAGAGTTATAGTACACATGAAATAAGACTCCATGATCTTCCTTGAGTTTGAAAATCTTATTTTAGAAATAAGATAGATGGGCAAGAAGCAATTAAAAAGGGGCAAATATTCAGGGAATAACTTTATGTTGCTACATAGGGGATGAGTAAACACACCAGAGTACATTCAAGCTTCATCTACAGAATCCTTTGGCAGAAGATATGCCTTAAGCTATTTGCTTTTTCTCTGTACAATGTTTTGTTTCTGCTAGGTAGTGGCAGTTTAATTGGATTGGTAAAAAAAAAAAAAAAAAAAAAATGTCATTCTGCAGAGTTTTGTAGCAATTCTCTTTGTCATCCAGAGACCAAAGAAGATACTGTACAATGGAGAAGAGGCATGTATTGTACAATGACAGAAAACAATGGAGCATTTACTTTTAGTTCTAGTTACTATTATTGTACATGTTGTAGTCCTTCAGCCAAGCAGAATAAGAAATAGAATTGCTGTGCCACCTCAAGTAATCATGCCCAGAGACCACTCAGCTCACCCTCACTGTAACCTTAAAAAGAATGATTCCTATTCTACATTCCAAAATTGTTTAAAAAATCATTTTAAATGTTCTCACTGGAAAAAAAGTGACAAGTACGTGAGGTGAGTAGATAGATAAATTCACTTGATATAACATTCCACAATGTTTACATGTATCAAAGTACCACATTGTACCCCATAAATATATATAATTATTATTTGTTAATTAAAAATAAAAATGTAAGTAAAATAATTTTTAAAGAATAATTACTTACATTCAGGGCCCCAAAATTATTCCATGTGCCCTTATAAAATCAAAATGAGAAATAAAAACAAAATCTGGTATTTTTTTGTAGGTTTCCTAACATGAATCATTTTAATTTAAATCCATTAAGTCAATAAATAGAAGTCATAAATGCTCAGTGTCAGTATATAAATGTAAAAGTATCAGGTTACGAGTTTTGAGGATACGAAATTTGACAATTTTCTTATGTTAGCATTGGAGAGATGTAGGTTGTTTATATACTCTTCAAGTACGGAACTTATTTGCAAATTTAAATAGAAAGAAAAATGTTTACAGATATTTATCTGCTTGCAATATTTGATTTTTAGTATAAAATATTATTTCAATATTCTCAAATTAATAATGTAATATGATATATTAACTTAAATTAATTATCCAAATAAGGCATGAAAAATTTTAAACAATTAAAAACTTTTCAAAATTGGTACTTAATTAAACAATGTTAATTGTTTGATAAATATAATTATATGTATCTATTGACATAAATGCAAATGGTATAATTGTTCATTGTAATCATAGTTTAATGATTTCAGATAGCAAAGACTACTATAAGAGAGTCATCTATTTAGAATAGAGGAGATATATTGCTCCAAAATTAGAACAGCCCTTGTCCTTTGGATTTTAAAGTAGTGCTCAAAGTGATTTTTTTTACTTAAATAAAAAGGAGAAGTTAAATATCAAGCACCAATGCCTTTCAATGTTACTGATCTATGAGCTCTACTGGCATTCATAAACCATGATAGAAAATTCATTTCATGCTTGTCTACTCTGATAAAATTCATAACTGAATTGTTAGAAAACCCTGAAAACAGGGAATGATTATAGGAATGCCCCAAAGTATGGGGCACAGTGGAGTAAAAGTAGGCCTCCAAGCAACTAGAATGCTGGCCTACCTTTATATGTCAAGTGGGCTACAATATTGTTAAACCTGGAGAGAGCACACAGTTTGCCAATTGGAATTACTAACAAATTAGGTATGAGACACAAAAGTTAAATTATTAATATAAAATTTACAAATATGCATATATAAAAGTAATTTGAAAATTACCTGTCAAATGTTAGACTTCATTGATCCTAATTCCCCCATTCTCCCCAGTGACTGGAATTCTTCTTCAGGACTCATTTTCTGTTTATGCATAAAGTTAAGGATGAAAGAGTGCCAGCTTAGTAACTGTACTTTTTCCTGTGTGTATCTCTTAAGGACTATTGTTTTATATCCTGGGGTTCTCAGGGGTTAAAAGAACAAAACAGAACCCTGTACTTTTGAGAGTAGCAGTATATGGAAATTGACTTTCATGATATCACTCTTTCCTGATTTTTCCTTCATAATGTTCTAATCACTTTTAACATTCTTTAGCTTGAACTCTTCTTCCACTAATCAATTAAATGTGAATACTCCTCATTGTTTCACTCTTGAACTTTTATTCTTCTTATCCTGTGTTCATATCTTCATCTGTACACAAACTCCTTCTTTTCTACCTAGGACATATTTTTCATCTTAAGCTTCATATTGTAAACTGACTATTGGACATTTCCACCCTTGACTCAAAAGGTAAGCTCATTCTTTTTCAACCCAGAAACCTATGACTTACTTTTGTTTTCTACCTTCTTAATTATGATTGGTAGTAACACCATTCTCATAATCATTCAATCAGTGAGTGTCCAAGCTAAAATCACTAGAATTTAAAATTACACTGAAGAAAAGAAGCCCTATTCAATAAATGGTGCTAGGAAAATTGCACAGCCACATCCAGAAGATGAAACAGGATCCACATCTCTTACCACTCATAAAAGTGAATTCCAAATGGTTAAAAGACTTAAATATAAGGCATGAAACCAAAGAATGCTAGAAAAAAAAATGTTGGAAAAACTCTTCTAGATATCAGCCTAGGCAAATATTTTATGAAGAAGATCCCAGTACCAATCACAGCAACAATAAGAATAAATAAATGGGACTTGATTAAATTAAAAAGCTTCCACAATAGCTAAAGAAATAATCAACAGAGTGAATAGACAGCCTACAAAATGGGAGAAAAATATTTGCAAGCTATATGTCCAATAGAGGGCTAATAACCAAAATCTGCAAAGAACTCAAGCAAATTAGCAAGGAAAAAACAAACAATCCCATTAAAAAGTGGACAAAAGACATGAACAGAAGCTTTCAAAAGAAGATAGAGAAATGGCCAATAAACATGAAAAATGCTCAAGGTCACTAACGTTCCTATGAGATAGGAGCATTCATACACTGTTGGTGGAACTGCAAACTAGTACAATCTCTATGGAGAATAGTATGGAGACACCTCAAAGAACTAAAAATAGAACTACCATTTGATCCAGCAATCCCACTACTGGGTATTTACCCAAACGAATAAAAGATATCTGCACTTGAATGTTTATAGCAACACAATTCACAATTGCAAAGATGTGGAAACAACCTGAGTGCCCATTGATACATGAGGGGATTAAGAAAATGTGGTATATATACATATATACACCATACTCTATGTATACCATAGAGTACTACTCAGCCATAAAAAAAATTGGTAAACTCATACCTCTTGTATTAACCTGGATGGAACTAGAGCCCATTCTTCTAAGTGAAGTATCACAATAATGGTAAAACAAATAATACATGCATTTATCATTAAATTGGTACTAATTGATCAACATTTATGTGCACATATGGAAGTAACATTAATCGGGGATCCTGCTGGTGGGAAGGAGGAGAAGGACTTGGGTAAATTTCCACGTAATGGGTGTGGTGCGTGCTGTCTGGGGGACAGGCAATGCTTGTAGCTTTGACTCTGGCAGTGTAAAGGCAATTTATGTGACCAAAGCATTTGGATCTATATATATCTCCTACTTGTTTTGATTCTCTGGAGAACCATGACTATTACAATTACTGAGTGTCATGAATTTATTTATAGGACTTCCTCTGTAACATTTACAGTGCTTTAGCCCCTCATTTTGGAATTTGGAGGTATTAACATGTATTATCTTGGAGCCTCCACTGCAATTGAGAAGAAAGAAACCCACTGTAATATTCTGTAGATAGACTTAAGCCATTTGTTTAAACTCCCCTTCACTTAGGACTAAATTTTACCTGGCAAAGGCAAAGGGAACACGTGGAGCTCCAGTTGGAATAGTGAATTCACATTGGAGTGCAATAATTTGAGATAAAAGACTAAAAAATGAGGAGCATTCAAGGTTTTAGTATTTGAACAATGAAATGTTCACTTCTTCACATGACAATAATTTTATAGTATTTTCTATAGATTGAGTGAAGACTGTTCAGTCTTCCTTTAGTTAGTATGGCAGATCTAAATTTTCTGTTATTATTGATATTTAAGATGCCCGATGTTTACAATATTGTTTAAAGCACTGCCACAGATTTTTACAATACAAACACAGAGATTCTAAGAAATTCTGTATCTATGGCATATTTATGATTGTGCCTGCTACCTTATTTCATATATGCTGTCAGGAAATAACATCTGTTTTGATCAGGTGTCAATGATAACTAAATTCTACATGTATAATCCTACCACAGACAAGTTTTCAGCTCCATGTAACTCAGTCCTTGTATCCCACCCACCATCCACACATTTCAGTGGTGCACACCTTAGGACACATTCAAGCTGCAAAATAACCTATGATCCTGCCTCTCTCTTTTTGACACAATGCTAGGTGAGTTGGCACAGCGAAAGATAATAGATTTCCTAGTAGCCATTTCTATATTACAACAACTAGAAACAAGCCGTATGGGTTGCAAAAAGCACACAAATAAATGTTTACCTATTTATTACCCTTATCATTATAGTGTCCTTTATTAATTCATATTTATCATTATATTATCCTTTATTAATTTGTTGCCAAATAATTTTGTCCACACAAAATTGAATAACCTACATTTATTTTAGGGCATAAAATAATTGAAATCTTATTTTATAATTATTGGTCACAATTATTTTTAGCAAAAACATGTTGATATGAGCTAGTCTCCTATTCAAAAGGAATTTCTGTTTTGTAACAAGCCTCACCTTCAGGGACTGCTCCTTGCATTTTATATTCTAGGCTCTGTGAGGACACAGAGGATATAGAGGAAAGATGATCAATAATCTCTAGAATACTACCAAACCACTCTGGGGCAAAATAAAGGTATGTCTATGTCATCTGTGAAAGTCTTTTCTCTATCAAGCAAAGAGGCTTAACAGCTTCCAGGAAATCTAAGGTCTTAGGTGAAATGAAGCACAGTATATTACAAAGTTTATTGGCAATGTTGGGAGCGATTTTGTTCTTTAGAAAACCACTTGGATCTTGGTTAACAACACTTTAAATTTTGAAGTCAAAGCATGAACTGTAGCAAAATCTCGGCAAAAGGCTGTCCTAGGAAGTTTATATGTTACAAAATAAACAAAATATATTGTGTGATAAGTAGAATGCTAGAGGAAATTTTTTCTTTTACTATATATGACCTAATTCTGTGGGATCACTATAATCATCCCACACATATTAAGATCTCCTCAAGTATATCCCTATAATCAATTTAAATATTTGGATGATCATTAATAAAAGATGCATTACAATTTTTACTGCTAAATTTGAGGTGTTCAGCAAATGTTATATAATTTATTTATTTTAGGTTTATTTCCTCTAGGGAAATTAAATCAGAGTCCCTGGAACAAATCTTGGCTTCACTATTTATTCTTGGTAAAATTTTAGCAAAAAACTTCAGTTCATTTTAAAAATGGTGACATCAATACTCCCATGAAGACCAGGGGCATTAACATTAAGCAACTATAGCTCCCAGCCCAGAAACTGAAACATTATCCATGAGAACTTAGTTTACATGGGGGTAGAAGTAATGTTATGCCCTCACAGAGATTTTCATATACATGGGCTTGAAATTTTTTTAAAGCATTTGAGTTTGCTCCAAGGGAAGGAAAATGTACTTTTGATGCTTTTCTTGTGTAATCCATAACTACTCTGACATGTAATCTCTTAGGAAAAATTATAATTTCTAACAATAAAAATTTATAAATACTTATAAGAAATTCAGTTATTCTGGAAGAAATATACATTGCTTATTTATTGAGTAACCATCATGGCTGGTCTATTTTTAAAAAAAAATTGAACATAGATGTATGATATACACACATATAATGTATGTATAATACACACACATATAATACATATAACACATATAATACATACACAGGTATATTTATCCAAAAGGGAACAGCATACATACTGTTTTATTCCTTGATGTTTTCATCAAAATATGTTCTAGACATTTTTTCATATTAGTTTGTATAAATTTGCTGCATTTAAAAAGTAATTGTGAGATATTTTTGTTTAATTTACTTAAATATTTCCCTATTAATGTATATTTAGATTATCATGAAAGTTTGCTATTAGACAAAATGAACCATTTGGTATATTTTGTATTTGAAATGTCACATTAAGTATGCTGATTACTTCTTTGGATTTTTGTGAACATATTCACAGGTGAAATTGATCATATTTTTTCTTCATCTATGTCTAGATTTATATCATTTGTTAGTCTTATAAAAGCAATTAAGCATCATCCATCTCTTTCTATGCTCTGAAACAGTTTTTAAATATAAATAACATCAAGATATTTGTTGACGATTTTCTAAAACTTACAACCAAATGATTTGGCCCCCAGTTACATATGAGAAGGAGAGGAGCTGACATAGTGAGGCGGAGAGGAAAATAGCTATTTCTATTTCTTGTTATTCTCATTTTTTAAATTCAAGTTTTATTACTAATATATTTTTATATTGTCAAATATTTCTTATTCTATTTTATGTGCCCTAGTGAAAGGAAAATCTGATTTCTTTTCACAAATCTACTAGTAGATACTTTCAAATTTTTAATTAAAATAACTAAAATAATATTAACATATAAACTTAAAGTATCCGTTTCCAGCTTTTCTCCAAAATAGAAGACCTTTAATATGCTTTAACTTATCTCACAGCTTCATTTCTCATTTTTGAATATTCATCTGCACTCTTATATCATATTATTTTATACATTTATGCTGCAGTTTTGTTTTATATTAGCCTTGATTTATTGGTATCATTAAATTTAAAAGCTCTAAAT